AAGGTTGGGCAATCCTACTTCCGTAGTGATACTGCCTCAGAAACCCAAGGAGGGGTCGCTATGAGTCGGGGCCAACTCAACGGCACATAGCAACAACAACAACAACAACAATTATTATAAACTCGTGTGTGTGTTTATAAACCATCCATTCAAAGACCCTATTCTTTAGTTAAAAAAAAAAACAACCCAAACTCACTGTCAAGTCGGATCTGATTCATAGTGATCTTCCTTGGGCAGTATCACTACGGAAGTAAAATGCCCAACCTCCTTCTGAGGAGTGGCTGGTGGGGGTCTGAACCGCCAGCCTTCTGGTTAGCAGTCAAATGCCTCAGGGACTGCACCACCAGAGCTCCCTTCTTTTACTAAGAGCTTTATTAATGTATAATTTACATAAAATTTATGTTATATATTACATAAAATTTGTGACTGTTATCAAACCATCTTTTCAAATTTGTTTTTAACAAGAGCTTTATTAAAGTATAATTTACATAACATAAAATTTACCCACTGACAGTATGTAAATTTATAGAATGTTGTAGCCACAATCACAGTTCAGTTTTAGATTATTTGTATCATCCAAAGAAATTCCCTTGCACTTGTTCAAATAACCAATTCTCCCTGAGCCAGTTCAGAAAATCTTACTTGATTTCCTTGACCAAAACTTCTAGCAGGGAATTTATGAAAGCCCAGCAATACGTGCCTAACTACTGACTTCTGTGATGGCAGAGAGTTGTTTACTTTTTAGGCAAGATTTCTCCTTCTTTTCCATTCTTTTAAATCTTTACTGGCCAATTTACTATTCTGGATATTTATAATAGTTTTTCAAATACTTTATTCCATCTCAAATATCATGAACTTAAATGAAATAAACTACAGATTCAAATTTGGTTAATCTAGAAAACTGTCTCAGGCAATCAGAAGCATTCAAATAAATCTGTATTCAATGGATAGGAAATCATTCTGCTAGTAGAATATGTTGTTGTTGTTGTTATGTGCCTCGAGTCGGCCCTGACTCATAGCGACCCCTCCTTGGGTTTCCGAGGAGGAAAAAAAATCAAACACCTTTAAAAGGAATAAAGTTAAGCTTAGAAAAATTATTTACCTCAGAAAAAAAGCCACTGTATTTTGATGATGGGCCTTCTGTCTGTGAAGAACCAGAATCACTGGAGTTAATCAAATATGTTCGACTATCATGGCGTAACTTTTCAGATAGGTGGCCTGCACAAGCCAGTTCATTTTCTTTATTTGCCATGACACAGCCCCCACTTCTAGGGGACTGCTTTTTTCTGTAATAAGGATTTGGAAAAGGACGATGAACTTTCTTTCTGCAATAGATCACCTTACGTAGTTTATCTGGGCTCTTCACAGCTTGTCCAACTGTTCTGTAAGAAGAATTGATTTTCTTAAATGAAAAATAAGCACATGAAACCTTTAAAAGTTTTTTACGCAAATATTTCTTAGGACATATTTTGTGGTCATAATCCACTAAAAGTGAATAGAATAAAAAACATCTTAAATTTTGATCAAAGAGGAGCGTAAAAGGAAAGTTACAAATTATCTGGAAAGCAATGAAAAGCATTTTCATTCTATCAAATGAAAATGAGGGAAAACATAAAACCTAGATCACTTTATTTTTTCACAGGTTGGTGAATTTTTTTTTTTAATTTTAAAAGCTTGTTTTACATTCAACGTCACACATACATTTAGTTTCATTCCCCATGTCCAACCCCAACCCAGTCTCCTCGCCTCCCTAACCCTGCAGTCCTCCCCCTGTGCCCCTCATAATTATGCACTCCTGTTTGTCCTGACTCTCCTCAGTTTGAATGTTGGGCCTCTGGTGTCCCATGGTCTATTGCTCTAAGGGACGTATTACCATTGAGTGTGTGGGTGCAGCATCCTGGGTTGAGTGGTCTGCGTGTACATCTTGTTAACTACTGGGCTGAGAGCGCGCCCTTGGGGGGTGAGTATTATTCCAGGCACAGAATGTATTTCAGGGCCACAGTACTGGGAGTCTCACCAGATTTCATCTGACCAGTAATTCTGTTCATTATTGAGTTTCTGGATTTTGTTCCACTTTCCGCCCCCCACTCTATCCAGGATCTCCAGATTTGATCCCTTCCTGAGTGGCTGGCATTGGCAGCCGAGCACCATCCAATTCTTCGGCTCTCAAGGGCCACTGTGTCCTAGGGCTGATTAGCTTCTAAATGACCCCCCCTTTTTTTGTGCGTTCTTCTTCACTTCTGATGCTTGGAGACCATTAGCTGCATCTTAGATGGCTGCTTGAAAGCTTTTAAGACCCCAGTCGCTACTCACCAATGTAGGATGTGGAGCAATGCTTATTGAGTCTGGTGTACCCCAGTACTGTGGTCCTGAGGTAGTAGCTCTTCTGGATCTCTCTCCCATAGTGTTGGGATGTCTGTAAGGGATTACTCTGTGTCTGTCTTCTATTGTTTCTGCACGGATTACAGGTATTTTGTATCATCGGTGTCTGTACAAGATTAGCCTCGGCTGAGTCTCTCCTTGGTCTATTCACTGACCCCTGTCTGATCATCTCAGGTGTTTATGTGTTTATCTGTACAGCTCAGTGTTTGGTGTTAATGGCAATGTGGTATCGTGGACACATTGGTTGGTTTTAGCATCTGTCGTCTATCTCTTATGTGCACAGTTCAGTGTTACCTAGATCATTTTAAAATTAAGTATTAAAGGTCATTCTGAGAGTAAGAAAAGTATAACAATTTCTAGTCACCTACTCTTTTTTCAAACAAAGTGATACATAATTGTACAAGTCTGAATATTTTTAAGTTTACTATAATAATCTGATTATGTTTTTAATTTTGTCTGAGTAACGTAACACACAACACTACAAATTTCATCTGTCAGTTTGTCATACTGTGGTGGCTTGTGTGTTGCTGTCATGTTGGAAGCTATGCCACTGGCATTTCACATACCAGCAGCACCACCCTTGGTGGACAGGTTTCAGCAGAGATTCCAGGATAAGACAGACTAGGAAGAAGGACCAGGTGATCAATGTCTAAAAAAACTTGGCCAGTAAAAACCTATGAAGAGCAGTGAACACTGTCTGATACAATGCTGGAAGAAGAGCCCCTCTGGTTGGAAGGCACTCAAAATACAACTGGGGAAGAGCTGCCTTCTCAAAGTAGAGTCAACCTTAAAGACATGGACAGAATAAAACTTTTGGCACCTTCATTTGCTGATGTGGTACAACTAAAAATAAGAATGAAACAGCTGCAAATATCCATTAATAATCAAAACATAAATCTAGGAAAATCAGAAGTTTTCAAAAATGAAATGGAACAATTAAGATAGATATCTTAGGCATAAATGAGTCAAAATGGATTGGTACTGCCCATTCTGAATAGGATAATCATATGGTTCACTATGCTGGAAATGACAAATTGAAGGGGAATGGCATAACATTCACTGTCATAAAGAACATTTGAAGATCTATCCTAAAGGACGACGTTGTCAGTGATTGGGTAATATATTTTTTTTTCTTTTTCTTTTTTTTTTTTTTAAATTGTGATTTGGGTAAAGATTTACAGAGCAAATTCACTTTTCATACAGCAGTTCACATATACTTTGTCTCATGTCATTGACCACAGTTTA